CTTCATTGTAGTGGATTGTTCTTTAAATAAATGTATTCTTTTAAAATATAACTGAATGTAATTTACATCTTTAAGAAATTTTTTTTTGCTGCAGCATCATAAGTGAGATTATCATTTGTTTTGCTGTTTTTGTTAGGTTTCACCTGAAGTATTAGGTGTCTTTCATATAGTACATTTTAAAATATTTCTAATTTAGAGCAGTTTAAATATTTATCCTTTAATGACAATGAATTTGTCCATGAAATTGTTTGGGACTGTTATCTCTTTTAGGAGCTTTAAAAATCCCTTTCAATTTCTTTTGCGGTTATTAATCTATTCATATTTTTACCCCTTTTTGAATTCTTGAATCAAGTGTGAACACTTTATTAGCCTAGAAATTCATGAAATATATACAGACTTTCAAATTTATTAACAGAGAGAGAGAGAGAGAGTGTGTGTGTGTGTGTGTGTGTACAAATCAGGCATGCATTTGTAATCTCTTTTCTATTATAGTTATAGCCCCTGATGATATTTAATGGTAGGTATTTTTGTTTTCTCATTCATTGTATTTCCTTCCCATTCTGGTCACAACATTAATAATCCTTCAGTCCAGGCACATTTGTACCAGTCCAGCTTCCTCTTTACCTAGAGAACTATTTTGTCTCCTACAAAGTTTAGCTCAATAATCTCTTTATCACATAAGTTTCTGTGAACACTCTAATTAAACTCCTCTTCTGATGTCACATATCACAAATACATTTGACATAGTGATTTCATTTCCTTTGAATATATGCACGGCATAGGGACTGCTGGATCATATGGTACTTCTATTTCTAATTTTTTGAAGAACCTCCATTATATCTTATATAACGGCTATACTAATTTACATTTACACCAACACTGTGCAAAGAAGAGTTCCATTTAGTCTACATCCTTGCCAACGCTGTTTGGTCTTTTTGATAATAGCCATTCTAACAAGAGTGAGGTGATATCTCATTATGGTTTTGATTTGCATTTCTATGTTGGTGATGTTGAGCACGATTTAATATACATGTTGGTCATTCGTATGTCTTCTTTTGAGAAATGTTTGTTCACACCTTTTGTCCATTTTTAATTAATAAGTAATTTTTAATTACTACCACTTTAATTTAAATTGGGTTATTTATTTTCTTCTTATAATTATTTCCTATAATTTTATAATTGATTATTATAATTACTTCTTACGTTTCTTTCTTATAATAAATTATCTACTTATTGAGTTGTTTCAATCCCTTATATTTTGGATATTAACCACTTATCAAATGTTTAGGTTGCAAATATTTGTTTCCCATTCTGTAGGTTCTTTCTTCACTCTATGATTGTTTGCTTTGCCATGCAGAAACTTTTCTAGTTTAACGTAATCTCAATTGTTTAGTTTTGTTTTTGTTTTCTGTGCTTCTGAGGTCATATCTAAAAAATTGTTAGCCAGACCAATGTCAGCCTTCCTCCTTTCTTCTAGTAGTTTCATAGTTTGGGGGTCTTACACTGAAGTCTTAATGCATTTTCAGTTGATTTTTGTTTATGGTGTGAGATAAGGATCTAATTTCATTCCTCTACATGTGAGTATCCATTTTTCCAAATACCATTTATTTGAAAGACTGCCCTTCCTCCATTGTTTGTTCTTTGTATGTTTGTTAAAAATTAGTTGATTGCAAATGCATGTACTAATTTCTGGGCTCTTTATTTTGCTCCACTAATCTATCTGACTATTTTTATGCCAGAGCTATGTAGTTTTGGTTATGATGGTTTTGTAGGATGTTTAAAATCAGGTAATGTGATACCTCTAGCTTTGTTCTTTTTGCTCAAGATTGCTGTGTTAATTGGAGACTTTTGTGGTTTCATATAAATGTTAGGATTGTTTTTTCTATTTATGTGGAGAATGCCATTGGTATTTTGATAAGGAGTACATTGAAACTGTAGATTGCTTTGAGTAGTATGAACATTTTAACAATATTAATTTTTCTGATCCATAAACATGGGATATCTATTTATTAGAATTTCCCTCAATTTTTCATCAGTGTTTTATACTTTTTAATGTAAATCTCCTTAGCTTTTTTACCTCCTTAAATTTATTCTTAAGTGTTTTACATTTTGTGCCTATTGCAAGTGAGTTTTTTTTTTTATTTCTTTTTCAGGTAATTTGCTATTTGTGTATAGAAATGCTACTGGTTTTCCATCATTCTGTTAATGCTGTAGTGTAGGTTTGCATGTGTTGAAACATCCTTGAGTCCCTAAAATAAATTCCACTTGATCATAGTGAATGATCCTTTTAGTGTACTGTTGACTTAGTTTTGCTAGCATTTTTTTTAAGAATTTTTGCATCTATGTTCAGGGATATTGGCCTATAATTTTCTTTTCTCATAATGCCCTTGTCTGGCTTTGGTGTCGGGATAATGCTGGCCTTACAAAATGAGTTCAAAGGTGTTTTCTCTTCTTCAACATTTTGGAAGAATTTGAGAAAAAAAAATGGTATTAGTTATTCTTTAAATGTTTGGTAAAATTCAACAGTGAAGCCATAAGGTCTTGGGCTTTTCTTTGATGAGAGACTTTTTACTAGGGATTCAATCTCCTTACTTCATATTGATCTGCTATGATTTTCTATTTCTTTATGATTCACTCTTGGTAAGTTGTATGCATCTAGAAATTTACTCATTTCTTCTAGGTTATCCAATTTGTTGGCATAAAATTTTTAAAGTAGTTTCTTATTATTCGTTGCATCTCTGTAGTATCAGTTTAATGTCTTCTTTTTCATTTCTGATTTTAATTCTTTGAGTCTTTTTTTTCTCAGTTCAGCTAAAGGTTTATAAATTTTGTCAACTTTATTTATCTTTTCAAAAAAACCAACTCTTTATCTTGTTAATCTTTTCTAAGATTTTTCTAGTCTATTTCATTTATTTCTGCTCTAATCTTTGTTATTCCCTTTTATCTGCTAACCTTGTTTTGCTAACTCCTTGAGGTATAATGTTAGGTTGTTTATTCGAATTCTTTCTTTTTTATGATATAGGCAGTTATTATCATAAGCTTTTCTCTTAGAACTACTCATGGTATGTTGTGTTTAAATTTTTGTTTATCTCAATTGTTTTAATTTCCCTTTTAATTTCTTCATTGACCCATTGGTTGTTCAGGAACATGTTGTTAAATTTCCACATCTTTGAAAATTTGTCACAACTTCTCCTTCACTCATTTCTAGTTTTATACCATTGTGGTTGAAAGACACTTGATACAATTTCAATCTTCCTTAATTTAAGACTTGTATTGTGGCCTGATATATAATCTACCCTGGAGAATGTTTCATGTGCACTTGAGAAGAATGTGTATTTTGCTGTTGTTAGATGGAACGTTCTGTATTTGTTAGGTCCATTTGGTCTATTGGTAGTTTAAGTTCAATGTTTTTAGTGATTATATATATGTATGATCTTTCCATTGCTGAAAGTGTGGCATTTCGGTCTCCTTCTATTATTATATTCCAGGCTTTTTATCTTAAGTTCTATTAATACTTACTTTAGGTGTTTCTACGTTGGGTGCACATACGTTTATAATAGTTACAGTCTCTTGATGATCTAACCCCTTTGTCATTATATAATAATCTTGTATGTCTCAGTTTGTAGTTTTTGACTTGTCTGTTTTATCTGGTATAAATGTGGCTATTCCTGCTCTCTTTTGGTTTCGTTTGCATGTAATATTTTTTTCCATCCCTTCACTTTCAGTCTCAGTATGTCCTTACAGATGAAGTGAATCTTTTCTAGGCAGCATACAGTTGGGCCTATGTTTCTATCCATTCAGTTAATCTATGTCTTTTTATTGGAGAATACATTCAGGGTAATTGTTAATAGGTATGATCTCACTACTACCATTTTGTTAAATTTTTTGATTGTTTTTGGGTTGTTTTGTAGGCTCTTTGTTGCCTTCCTCCTCCCTTGCTGTTTTCCTTTGTGTTCAGAAGACTTTTTCCAAGTGGTCTGTGCAGATTTCTTACTCTTTATCTTTTGTGTATCTACCATACATTTTTGCTTTGTGGTTACCATGAGGCTTACAAAAACAAATCTTATAGTTATAACAGGCTGTTTTAAGTCGACAACAACTTAACTTTAAGTGCATTACAAAACCTTTACTCTTTTACTCCACAGACTTGAAAAGTTTCTGCTATTTTTCAAAATAAGCTTTCTACTGTCTCTTTTGCTTCTTCTTCTTGAACTCCCATGATTCAAATATTTGCCCTTTTCATGCCGTTCTATAAATTCTGCAAACACTCTTTACTTCTTTTCATTTTTTTCCTACTCACTATATATTTTTTAATAATCTGTCTTTGAGTCCACATATTCTTTCTTCTGCCTGGTCAATTCTGTTGTCGATGCTGTCTACTACAATTTTTTATTTCATTCATTGTATGCTTTAGCTCTAGTATTTGTTTCATTTTTTAACTATTTTAATATCTCTGCTAAATTGCTACCTTTAGTCATTTATTTTTTTTCCTAATTTCACTGTATTGTTTCTTTGTATTTTCTTGGAGTTTGCTGACCTTCCTTAAAACCATTATTGTGAATTCTTTGTCAGGCAGTTTGTATATCTGTATTTCTTCGGAGTCTGTTACTGGGAGACTATTGTGTTCTTTTGGTACTGTTATGTCTCTTTCATTTTTCATGTTTCTTAATTGCCTTATTTGGTGTTTACACATTTGAACAAGTAGAGACTTGCAGACTAGCTTTTTCTGGGAAAGCCCTTCACTAGTCAGCCTGTGCACAGATTCTGAGCAGGCTACTTGGCCTGGTCCTTGGGTGGGCTTGCTTCTGAAGTCCTCGGGCAGGCTGGTCTGGTGCCTGGGTCGGCAGATAGGTAGGCCTGGCAGCTGGTGGAGTGTATGTGGTGACTGCCACTCTAACAATAGGTCCTATTGTGACAAGCCTGGACCCTGGATCTAACAATAGGTCCTACCGTGACAGGCCTGGACTCTGGAATTGGCCTGGACCCTGCCACAGAACCAGCCTGGCACTAGGCAATCCAAAAAGCTATATCCATGGGTACACGTCTAGTCCTTGAGGCAAGGAAGGCTGACCTGGTCCTCAGATGAGCTTGAAAGCTGGGCCGACAGGGGCTGTCCCAGTAGTGGGTGGGCCTGGAGGCTGTATCCACAGAAGCTTCCAGCAAGTTGGAGTCCACCTGTGTTGGCCTCATGACTAGGATGACTAGGATTGGCCTGCTGCTGGGACAAGGCTGAAACCTGGAACCTGGGACAGCCTAGAGTTGGTCTGCTGATGGTGGCAGCCTAGATATGGGTCCACTGGAGCCAGTCAAGACCTAAGGACAAGCTGAAACATGAAGCCTTTGAGGTTGACCTAGCAGTGGGATGGTCTGGAGACTGAATCCACCACAAAGACCTGGAGCCTGAGGCTACAGGACCTAGCCTAGCATGAGGTGAGCACAGAGGTTCAGTCCATAGGTATTGGCCTGGAGTTTAGGGCTATGGGGGTCTACCTGGCACTGGGTTTTACTGGGGTGGGCCTGGTTTTAGTCTCTGAGGTAAAGTTGAATACTCACTTTCCTCTCCTTCCCCCACATGGAGGGTCTTTCTCTCCATGCTGTGTTTTATGGGGTTGAGGAAAGGGTGACAATACAAAACTGCCTTCCTACCCTCTTCAATGCATCTTTTCTTTTTTCTTTGCTGTATCCAGGTGCTCTCACCTGGTGTCTTCAGCTTTTGTGAAGGCATTTTCACATGTGGATAGTTGTTTAAATTAATGATTCTGCAGGGGGGATGAGTGCCGGATAATGCTATTATGCCAACTTGCTCCTCTTCACCCTAAATGTTTTTATTGAATCAGTAGGTTTTCATCTTTATTATTGTGGCTACCATGTCTGTTTTCTTTTTAAAATATATATCACCTCAAGCATTTATCATTTCTTTGTGTTGCTAACATTCCAATTATACTCTTTTAGTTATTTTTAAATTCACAATAGATTATTGTTGATTGTAGTCACCCTGTTGTGCTATCAAATACTAGATCTTATTCATTCTATCTAACTATGTTATATACTTATTAACTATCCCCACTTCCCTCCCAACACACTTCCCTTCCCAGGCTCTGGTAACCGTCATTCTACTCCTTATCTCTATCCATTCAATTTTTTCAATATTTAGCTCCCATAAATAAATGAAAACATGTGAAGTTTGTCTTTCTGTGGCAGGCTTACTTCACTTAACATAATGTCCTCCAGTTCCATCCATTTTGTACATTCCATTTTGTTATTATTATAAGTAACATTACACATTGAATTACTCTACAGATGAGTCTCTCCTCACAACTATACTTTATTTTTATAGCAAAAGTGATTTATGTTCAACACAGAATACTTGAAAATCACAGAAAAATCCCACTGAAATAAAACTCCCAACGTTCAGTTTTGAATCTATCTTCTAAAGATAATTGCATATTAAGTTTTGTTGTATGACTTTTTAATATTCTCTTCTTTCTCTCCACATAAGCATGCATAGAGTTATAAAAAACAGTATCAAATTGCATATACATTTAAGCCTCTTTTTTACCATTAAATCGTGAATGTGTCAATGTTTTATTTTTATTTTTAATTTGGTTTTATGTCTTTTAGTAGGCATATCTTACATGCCTCACCAAATACCCATAAATGTCTCCTGACACTCACTTGTCTGCTCATCTTCAGCCACTGTATTGGTAAATGATTCTACAGGAACCAACCAGCTAAAAACCCAGAGTCTCTGGCTCCTCTCACCATTTCCAAACTTGAATGAAGCACAGTCAGTACATGGAATCTGGCTTCCCTATTGGTTGAATAAAGAGCCAGGGATAAAACCCAGAAGTGTGAGGGAGTTAACCCTCTGGAGGATGAACTCTGATCAGAAGTAAACAGTAGACAGATTGGAGCCAAGAGGTAAATTATTTCTCAAGTCTTTTTTCAGATGACCTGTTCCAAGGCAGTTTCCCACTACAACGTGCCTGAAGGAAAACAGTGGTTAGTACAGCAACATAACACCTTGCACTTGCTTCTCATTCTTTGACTTACTCCTTTTGCCTCATGCTTGCTTCTCAGGAATTTTACCTTCCAATAAGGATTGGCACAATCGCGGCTTACTGCAACCTCCACCCCCTGGGCTCAAATGATCCTCCCACCTTCAGCATCCCAAGAACAGGTTTTTGTATTTTTTGTAGAGATGGGATTTCACCATGTGGCCCAGGTTGATCTCGGATTCCTGGACTTAAGTGATCCACTTGCCTCGGCCTCCCAAAGTGATGGTATTACAGGCATGAGCCACTGTGCCCAGCCAGGATCTCTTTTCTATGGACTACAGGCTAGGCACTTGCATAGTATTATATCCTGAAGATACTATAGCTCAATAATTAATATCCCATTGATAATCATTCAGGTGTTTTCAAATACTGCTTATTACAAATAATGCTGTTATAACTATCTTTACACTAAAATATTTATGCATATCCCCTATTATTTTCTTAGGATAAATCATAATGTTGAATTTCTTAAAAATGGCTTGAATCTTTTTAAGGAAAAAGAAACTTTTTAGCAAATTACATTGAAGTTCTTTAACTCCAGACTTCATGAGTAAGCAAATAAATTAGTTGGGAATTACTGAAAATACAATTTGAAATAGGAATCTTTTATAGTTAAATGTGTTAAAATTTAGAAACTATGTAGAATATACAGTCAGTTATGAGACAGAACCTCTCCTCTAGCTCCTGACTCATTAAGAAATAAGCAACAAATTGTAATGTTCGTAAGAGCCTCCAATATGTTCAGTGGATTTTCTTCATTTTCCAGATAAAGCATATCCCATTTGTACAGGAATACTTTTTTCTCACATTAGCAATCATCTTCTTTTAAGTGTATAGTTTTTGCTTATATGCTCATTTCACTTATACCTTTGAGACTTTTTGTAATTCATTCAGAAAACAATAACAAAGAAATTTTGTTGCTTTTAAATAATCAGCAAAATTCTCCATGCTCCTCTACCTGGCTAATGGGAATATCTGTATGATATTGCAGTTCATTATTTCACCATAACTTCTTAGAGGGCACAGAATTATTACAATGTCCCAAGAATTTACATTTGCTCTCAGCACTGTCCATGATAAACTGCATAAATGAAACACATTTGCTACTTGGCTCCATTCTGTTATGTATTTTTTTCAGATTATACTTAAGAAAAGTATCACGAGGGTATACTCACTCCTTGTATATGGACAGGAGGGTATATGAAGTTTTGGAAGTTTACATGAGCATCCCCATATTGGCAAACATAAGAAACTGCTGTTCTAATCCCAGCCCTGTGTTCTGTGTTTGTAAGATTTCAAATTCTACTTGTAACCAACATCCTGAATGCTGTGACAATGAGAGAGAATTTTTTTTAATTTCAGGATATTTGCTTTCTCCTTGAATTCAAAACTGAAGGATACACATAAGCAAAGCCTTGTGGTAGTGCATATCTACTGAATAATCGTGTAATCTATCCAGATATCCTGTGTCCCAAATGCACTACCATTTAGTAGATGAAGTTGAGTTCCATAGTAAAAATCTTTGTGTTCAAGTCCTGGCTCCACTGCTGTGTCACGTTTGCAAATTGCATAGAATCTCCTCTGTAATAAAATTGGGATAATAGCTTTATCTATTGCACTGGTTTATCATAAGAATTGAATGTGTTAATATAGGTGAGTTAGAAGAGTGCTTGGCACATGGTAAGCATACAATAAAATGAAAAAAGTAGTAAAAATAAAATTTTAATTACACCATGCTCACTATCATACTGACTACCTGTATAACATCTGTCATGTGACCTTGTACCTCCTTCCAGATTTCAAAAGACTTTCAGGGCAGAAAAAAGAGCGAAAAAGAATTGGCATTAATTCAGTACCGAACACATTCCAAACACCCTGCTATTTATTACCCAGAGCTCTTCCTAAGCCTGTTAATTTTGGATACTCCACATGATATCATTTTATACTTATTAAAATGGACCCACATTCGACATTGTATAATTTGTGGCACTTAAGAGATTGAAAGGACTTTTATAACTGTGGTCTCAAAATCACTCTCAATTTTAATTTTCTAGCATTTCAATTTAGAACTTAAGAGAAAAAATATTTTATATCTCAAACATCTTAAAAGGCCCTTGAAAATATTATAGGCAGTAAGCACTCTGCCTATAGTATCTAATGGATAATTCAGCCCTCTTTCCATTTCATATCTTTATCACCAAAATTAAATTTTCTGTTCTGTTGATGAGGAAACTGAGGCTCTGCCAGGTTAGCAATCCTTACCAATGTCACCTTGGAAAAGCATTAAACCCAGGGCTGGACAAGATCAGAATCACTTTCCTCTACATCATGTGGCATCTAGTTTTCCCATGTTTCTCACCTCAAAGTGAGGCAAAGGACCTTGTATGGCCCCTTGAAGTAAACACATGGATCTCAGTGTTCTTCTTCCCCAGGAAGGCAGTGCTGAATCAGAAATCTCCAGTTCTAAATCCTTTTTGGCAGAAAGCCCAGATTTCTGGAATTTCATTTAATGTCTTGTCAGGCTGCCCATCAAGAATTAAAGCTCCATGACTTCATGTGGCTGAAGCCCAAAACTCTCATCATTTCATTTTATCTTTAGTTTAAACACCCTTTTGTTTCTGTTCTTATCGGTTAGATGTGTGTTTTATGTCCTGTCCTTTAAGTTTTAAGTCCTTTTCCTTCTTGGTGTCTTTTTCCTTCTTGGTGTCTTTTTCTAGTTATTGGCCTGCCTGGCAGTGAGAAATAGCCATGTCCCTTAGTTGTGTGAAACAATTCTGATATCAGAGTCTATGGCCTGGAAATTGAAGAGATAAAAGTGATATGTGATAAGCATCAAAATACACCCACATTTTGGTTCTTTGCTAACTTTTTCTAAAGTATTAAAACTATCTATCTTAGCTTCATAACATGTTTAATCTGAAAATAATTTATCTTACATGTATAAATAAGGAGAGTGTATAGGATGATCCATAAATTCATAGATGATGCCCGATCTTAGCCATCGGAGACATCAGATAGGTCTAGACCTACAATAGCCATTAATATTTCTTGAAGACTTTATAATGCCAAGCACAACTCAAAGTGCTTTGCATGTATTAACTCACTGCATCCTCTCAACAAACCTAGGAAGTCTTATTCCCATGTAACAGAGGAAATTGAGGCATAGAGAGGTGAAGTACGTTTTCTAAAGTTACAATGCAAGTAAGTGGTAGAATAGAAATTTGAAATCAGGAAGTTCAGCATCAGCATCCACAGCCTTAATGACTAACGAGTAGTACCTGTTCCATCTAGGAGGAAAAAAATTAAGGAAGGAAGGACTCATGTGGAAGAGATGCTGATATGATGATAAAGGTGAAAAAAGAGGAAAAGTAT